CACACTGAACGCGGAGCTCACCTTATAGCGAGGCTGCCTGGCCAGTGAGCTCTAGAGCTCTTCCCCTCTACCCCTTCTCCCAGTGCAAGGGACTTAAATGCCTGCCTTTTACATAGTGCCAGGGACTTAAATCAGATACTCATGCTTGCCCAGCAGGCCCTTTACCAGCCATTTTTTGGTTTCTCTTTCTATCTCTACCTTGCCATAAACTTTCTCCAAACCAGAATAAAATGGGGCAGGTGAATGTACATGTGTGGAGTACAACTGATGGCTTTTCTCCTCCCTCCCTCTGGCAGGTGTACTCAGTTCCCATGGGGGGTATGATGGTAAGGCAGTCCTTTGCCATTGGAGGCTCTGGGAGCTCATATATCTATGGCTATGTTGATGCTACCTACCGGGAAGGCATGACCAAGGATGAATGTCTGCAGTTCACTGCCAATGGTGAGAATTTGGGCTTCTAGGCCTGTGAACCTCAGCCCTCATTACCCAAGCCATGCCAAGATTCCTTATTCCTTGCCATGTTCTCAGCACCTAACTCCAAACCCATTTCCTCCTTTTATCTACAGCTCTTGCTCTGGCTATGGAACGGGATGGCTCCAGTGGAGGGGTGATCCGCTTGGCAGCCATTCAAGAATCTGGGGTAGAGCGGCAGGTCCTTTTGGGAGACCAGATACCCAAATTCACCATTGCTACTTTACCACCTCCCTGAATCCTAGTGTGCTACAGTATAATAAGAGATATTCATACTGGTGCAAAAGTTAATAAACAGTTTTGCAAAGAGATGTTTCTGTTTTGGGGTTCTTTTCTTAACTTCAAGCTTGAACTTGTTAGGTCCATTCTTTTGTGCAAACTACTGCCATGAGGTTGGTGGGAACTAGAGAGGTGATGAGGGAGATTTATAAACGCTCTCTTCTATTCTGATGATGATGATGATTGAATCATTTTTGGTTGGTTAGGTTTTCTTTAATTACTGAGTTTTTTTAAAAATATTTATTTATTTATTATGTGTACAATCTTCTGCCTGTGTGTATGCCTGCAGGCCAGAAGAGGGCTCCAGACTCCTTTACAGATGGTTTGAGCCACCATGTGGTTGCTGGGAATTGAACTCAGGACCTTTGGAAGAACAGGCAATGTTCTTAACCTCTGAGCCATCTCTCCAGCCCCTAATTACTGAGTTTTATGTGCATTGGTGTTGTATCTGCATATATATTTGTGTGAGAGCAGTGGGTCCTCTGCAACTAGAGTTACAGACAGTTGTGAGCTGTCATGTGGGTGCTGGGAATTGAACCCGGTCTTCTGAAAGAGCAGTCACTGCTCTTAACTGGTGAACCATCTCTCCAACACCTTTTTCTTTTTTGAGACTAGATCTCTCATAGCTCAGACTGGTCTTGAGCTTGTGGCAATCCTCCTGCCTTTGCTTCTTGAGTGCCCAGGTCACGATATGTGTACCACAGATGTGGTCAGGAGTGGTTTCTGAATCTTTTCCTGTAGATCATATTTACTCTGCATACCCAGGTACCCGAGCCACCAGAATGTGGTTGATACTGGGGCTGCAGCAATGTCTTAAGTCAACTTAGAATTATGAGACTGCAATCACCTCCCCTGCTGCAGACAACATGATGACTGCTGACTCGGAGGTCTACAAGTGAAAATTAAGGTGGATACTAGCTGGCAACCATAAGGAGTGCTTTTGGCCACTGTCCTCTTGAGGCTGAGAATGGGCTTCAGTCCCTTTAGAGCTGTCCCTGTTCTAACCAAGGACCTAAGTGACTCCATCTTTCCAGTTTTACTTTCTCTAATCCATTGATCAGGGAACCATAGAAGCCGCATTTACAGAGCCTGTTGTGGAATAGTTCAGAGGGTAGGAAGGATGGTTCTTACGGAATTTCTCATTCCTAAGGAAGGGGAGAGGAAGACAAAATACCCTAATGAGCAACTTGGGGAAGATTGATCACCGCACAGTCTGAGATTATCATGGCAGAGCAGACACAGTGGCAGTGTGAAGCCACTGGTTACCCTGTACCCATGAGCAGGAAGCAGTGCCACTTAACTGTGTTTATTTATTCTGGAACTCCAGCCCATGGAATGGTACAACCTACATTTAGGATGGCTCTCTCCACCTCCGTTAACCTAGAAACTCCTCCACAGGTACGCCCAGGGGTTTGTTTTCCATGAAGTTAACAGTATAAACCACCACAAGCAGTAAGGGCCTAATTAAGTGAAAAGAGCAGAAAGGGATCTGACTCTAAACATTTAACTAAAAATACTTCAGATTTTCATGCCCATATCTGTGCTCCCTTTTAAGTTCTCGCTCTTGAACTTAACAGTTCAGCTCTAAAAAATTTCTGAGAGTATATAGCCATCTCCAAGTCCCTGCCCTTACGTAATCCTTTAGTTACAGGACAACAAAAAGATGTTTGTAATTATGAGCCCACGTTGCTTCTCTGTGGCACAGGTCTCAGGATCAGGCCAGGCGCAGCACTTGCCTTTAATACTGGGCGGAAGCAGATGGTTCTGAGTTTGGGGCCAGCCTGGTCTACATAGGGAGTTCAGAGTCAGCCAGGGCTACCTAGTGAGACCCTGTTTCAAAACAATAACCCCCCCCCCATAAAAAGAAAGACAAAAACATTCCTTAGGAGCTTGCCATTCCACCAAGAATACTGGCTACTTAGGACCTAGGAGACCAACAGCTGCCCCAGCTTTGACACTAATCCCTGGTGCTTTTTCTGTTTTCTAGAATTCATGGGATTTTGTACTTAAATATTTGTTGAGTAGATTTTGCTACTTATTTTTGTTTTGCAGTGCTAAGCATCAAAGAAAGGGCTCTGCAGTGCTAGACAAGTAATTTACAACCGGACTACGTCTTCTATCCCATGAGTTTAGACAAGGTTTCTCTGTAGTCTAGGCTTCCCCTGAGCTTAGGATCCTTCCTCACCCTTCAGAGTGCTGGGGTTATAGGTGTATACTACCAGGTGCAGATCCCCAAGTCTCCTGGAACTCACTCTGTAGACCAGGCTGATCTCAAACTCAGAGATCTGCCTGCCTCTGCCTCCCAAGCGCTACCACCACCCAGCCCCAAGTTTCTTAAGACAGATCTCACTCTCAGACTGACCTGGAACTCACTATGTAGCCCAGACTCTCCTGGAACTTGTGGCCACCCTCATACCTCAGTCTCCTAGATTTTATACAGGAGCCAACTGTGGTTAGCAAACTTTCTTCCTAATGGAGTATTTTAGGTTTGCAGCAGAACTGAGCTGAAGGTGAAGAGACTTCTAAATATCACTCGCTTACCTGCACACGTGCAGAGCCTCCTCGTTCGTCAGCATCTTACACCAGAGCCAGTGGCCTGCACTGACGCGTCCCTCCCCAGCTTTACCCAGAGGCCGCCTCATCAGGAAAGCCTTTTCTGATCCCTTGAAATGGAAGAAACACTCCCGACCCCCAACCCGTTCTCACATTACCCTGTTTAATTTTCCTCCTAATTGCTATGTCCTGAGAGCCTGCTTGCTTTTTATTATCTACTGTCCATACTAGAAAGTCAACTCATGAAAAGAAGGAATTCTTCCTGATGCATTGACAAGTCATCGTCACTGACTAGCAGGAGTAGACACTACATTCTTTAAAGGATATTCTAATTTATTCTTGGACAGTTTCATGCATTTACATAATATATCTTGATCATATCCACTCCCCATTGCTCCTTTTGGGCCCTCCCCCAACATGTCTCTCTTCCATTTTCATGTAATATATAGCTATACCTATCTAGACAGACACACAAACAGACACAGGTAGGTAGGTAAATAGATAGATAGTGCATCCAATTAGTGTTGCCTGAATGCACATGCGTATGGGCCCATCCACTGGAACATGGGTAGCATACCAGGGGCCTCACCCCCAAAGACAATTGACTCCCTAGCAGCCAACAATTGCCAATAGCTCCTCAGCTAGGAATGGGGACTCTGAGCTCCTCTTCCATTCTTGCTGGAATTTTGACTGACTTGATCTTGTGCAACTTCTCTGGGTTTATGAGTTCAAAGACCATGCTGCTAAAAGCGTTTCTCAGCATTCCTTCCCATTCTCCATCTCTTACATTCTTTTCACTCCCTCTTCTAAGTTAAGACTTTTAAAGGTTTTATTTATGTGTGTGTGTGTGTGTGTGTGTGTGTGCGCGCACACACAGGCACACACGTTCATGCCACAATACATATGTGGAAGTCTGAGGATAACTTTGTGGAATTGATTCTCTTCTGCCTTGTTAAGGCAAGGTCTAACTTGTTTCTGCCTATGCTTCGTACAGTCTTCACCTCCCATCTCTCTAGGAGTGCTGGAATTAAAGCTGTACTTTGGGTACCTGGGTTTTTACAAGGGGCACAATGATCAAACCCAGGTCTTCAGACTGTATGCAGCAAGTGTCTTTACCCACTGAGTCACCTCCTAACACTAGGTAACAAACTCTTAGCTGGGTCATAGTGGTATATGCCCTTAATCTTGGCACTTGGGAGACAGAGACAGGCAGATCTCTGTGAGTTTAAGGCCAGCCTGGTCTACAGAGTGAGTTCCAGGACAGCCAAGGCTACACAGAGAAACCCTGTCTCAAAAAACAAAACAAAATTTAATTCTGTTTCCTGTCTTGTCCAGGCCCCAACTTCACCTTTTGATACATTCAACTCCAAAGCCTGATTTCAGCAAACATTTTTTTTTCCTGGACAGGTTTCTCTGTGTAGCCCTAGCTGTCCTGGAACTAGTTTTGTAGACTAGACTGGCCTCAAACTCAGAGATCCGCCTGCCTCTGCCTCCCAAGAGCTGGGATTAAAGGCATGTACCACCACCACCCGGCTTTTTTATTTTTTTGGGGGGGGGGATTTCAGCAAACTTAACTTTCCTATTTATACTTGGGATCTACCTTGGATCCAGCATTCCTCTCTGATCATACACTTTCTGTCTCAGACTTGTAACCCAGACCTAGTCCGCCTCCAGTCACCCCCACCAACACTCAACACTTGGTGACTCTGAACAAATTTAATGAGGTCATGACAGACTTGGGACCACTGAGAAATGTGACAGAAGGGTGCTAAGACTTCCTGGAGTAAAGTTTGGCCCCTGGTTGTCCCTTTCAGATGGTAGAGTCATTGGCTGATGCCACGTCATGCAGCTGGTGCCGGAAGGAGAGTCGAGCTTTCCGGCTTAAGTAGGCACCAGCCCCTGGGGAGGACAGTCCCCCGGCCACAGTGGGGGCTACAGCTGGGCTGGGATCTGGAGGGGATGCAGGTTCCAGGCCTAAAGAGGGAAACCAGAAGAGGAAGAAGGGTTGGAGGGGGAAGGTCAGGGTTCAGCTCCCCTTCGCTAGAAGAGATGAGGGATGTTGATGGCCGCAGCAAGACTACGGAGAGGGATCACGAGGCCAGCGTCCCCGGGATACGGCCTGAGCTGTTGAGAGACCCCCCTCCAAATCCCTCTCCAGCTCAAAAGCACCCCAGTGCTTGAGGCGGTGATCTGCTGTCACCATCTTGAAATTCTTACACTTTTACCACAGCCTTCCATCCTTCCAATTTGCAGTAGTCTCTGCAAAATCTTCAGGTGGCCCTGAGGAGACACGAGAAATCCGCTTCCCACCTAGGCAGCAGATCCTTTCCCTTCCCTGTTTGAGGGTTTATCCCCCCATTCATACCACTTTGCCCTTTCCCCCATCAACCCCATACCTGTCCCTCTTGCAGTCCCCCGCTGTCTCCGGCACCCACACCACGGAAAACACCAAGCCCCCTTCAGACCCATCTCAATACTGGAGACTGGGACGTTGGGAAGGGCCAGGAGGGCCCCAGGGAGGGGGTGTGGTTTTCAAGTCCCCCCATCGTGGGCAAAACTACCACTTAGCTTCAGACCGCCTGGTGATTATAGGCGCCAGGAGGTAGAAGGGAGGGAAGAAGGCGGGGAAGAAGAGTGGGGGACTAGCCCCATTCAAATACTTATATCTGGTGCCCTCTTGATTTAGGGGCCCTTTTATCCTCAGGAAAAAAAGAGGATGTTGGGAGGGATTTCATGACAGAGCAGGCAGAGGGGTGCCACGACAGTGAAAATTCAGTAGAGCAGATCTCTTAACTTGGGGTCAGGCTGGACACCGCTGGCAAGGGGGATCTGTTTTGTTTTGAATTTTTGGTATTGGTAACAGGGCCCAGGGCCTCCTGTATGTTGTGGGGGGGGGCTTTATCACTAATCTATCCATCCCCTCCCCATCACCATTTTCTTTGCCTTTTAAATTTTATTTTAGGCATACAGATTTAAAGAATATTAAGTTTTTGGCATAAGAAACTTTATCCAGAGAAAGAAATGTGTTCTCACTAAGTGGTCTGCTAACTCTTTGTGTTTGTTTTGGTTTTGAGACAGTCTGACAATGTGACTCAGACTAACCTGGAATCCCTGGTGATTCTCCTGCCTCAGCCCCTCAGTGAGAGGATCACAGGCCTACACCTCTAGGCCCAGCTGGTCCCTTGACTTGTCCTTGTTTGTTACCTGTTGCTGTTGTTTTACAGTGTGGATCTCACAGTATTGTCCAAGGTTATCTCAACAAGAGGTGAGTGTTCTGCCATAGGGATCTTTTGAGGTGCTGTTACCATCCTGATTTTACAGGTGAGGAAGGGGGTCACTGAGAGGTGGGTTACTTGTCCAAGGTCGGTGACCCAGAGCTGGATAGCTGCCTCTTCAACCCTGCCCTAAGTCCATCTGAATCCAGCTCAGATTTAACATTACTCCACACTTCGCAAGGCACTGATGTCCTTAGCTAGACACAGGCTGGAACCTCGGGTCCTGAGCACCATAACCAAGTGCCCTGATAGGGCTGCTCGCGCACTGCACCATCGTTCCCGGAGGTGCCGCCAGCAGGAATGTTGGGAAGCTCTGCTGGCTGCACTGTACTGTACTTAGAAGTCTAGTGGGCTTTGTTGGTTTACTTTTTAAGATTTGCAGTGCTGGGAATGAAACCTCATATGTGCTTGGAAAGCTCTCTACCACTGAGCAAAGACCCAGCAATGGAGGAGGGGGTGATGTGTTACTTTTGTTTGTTTGTTTTCTGAGAGAGAATTGCATGTAGCCTTGAACTCCTGCTGTGATGCCTCTGTCTCTCTTTTCTTTTTCTTATTCTTATTTTTTTAGATTTATTTATTTAGTGTGTATACAGTATTCTGCCTGCATTTTTGCTTGTGTGCCAGAAGAGGGCACCAGACCTCACTACAGATGTTTGTGAGCTGCCTTGTGGTGGTGGCTGGGAATTGAACTCAGGACCTCTGGAAGAGCAGCCAGTGCTCTCAACCTCTGAGCCATCTCTCCAGCCCCATGCCTCTATCTCTCGGGTGCTGCTTTATAGGTGAGGGCTACCACACTTGGGCTTTTTTTTTTTCTGGTAACTGAGTTGGCAGGGGTGGTGCACCCCTAAAATTTAGTGGCACTCGGACTGAAGCAGGAAGATGCTCCTCCAAGTCCAGCATGGGCTACACGGTGAGACCTTCCTGCTGCCCCCTAAAAAAGAACCTCATGGAAACAAAATGTGTTCATTAATTCTTTTGTCAACGTGTCACAAGTTAGAGTCATCTGGGCAGAAGGAACCTCAAGTAAGAAAATGTTCCCCATCAGATTGGCCTGTAGGCAAGTCTGTGGGGGTTCCTTGGTTGGTCATTGATATGGGAGGGCCTGGGCAAGTGGTCCTGGGATGTAGAAGAAAGGAAGCTGAGCAGGGCAGGGGAGCAAGCTAGGGAGCAGTGTTCCTCGGTGACATTTGCTTCAGTTCCCACCTTGGCTTCCATTGGCAGACTATGACCTGGGATACGTGAGCCAAATGAAAGTTCCTTTTTGTTTAACTTGAGACAAGGTCTATCTATGTAGCCCTGGCTATCCTGAAATTCACTATGCAGACCAGGCAGGCCTTAAATACATCAGGTTCCTCCTGCCTTTGCCTCCTGAGTGCTGGAATGAAAGATGTGTGTCACCATGCCAGCTCAAGTTGCTTTTGATCTTTTTGTTTGCTTGTTTGTTTGTTTTTTGAGACAGGGTTTCTCTGTAGCTTTGGAGCCTGTCCTGGAAATAACTCTGTAGACCAAGTTGGCCTCGAACTCACAGAGATCCGCCTGTCTCTGCCTCCTGAGTGCTGGGATTAAAGGCGTGCGCCACCACCACCCGGCTGCTTTCAATCTTTATCATATCAACAGAAACATAACCAAGACACTAAGTATATATATATGTCTTGAACACCCATACACACCATACAGCTCCATTGAGTTTTGCACTCAGATGTTTCTCATGTATGTGTATGGGAAGGGGTGTGCATGCATGTGTATGCAGAGGACAGAGGTTAACATCAGGTAACTTTATCATTCTCCATCTTATTTTTAACTTACACTTTAAATTTATTTTGTGTGCATGTTGGATGTGTGTGTGCGTGTGTGTGTGTGCGTGTGCGTGTGCGTGTGTGTGTGTGTGTGTATGTGTGCCACGGCATAGCAAGTGTGGATGTCAGAAGTCAACTTGATGAAGTCAGTTTTCTTCTAACACCACGTGGGTCCCAGGAGTCAAACTCAGGTGGTCAGGTGTGGCAGCAGGTGACTTTACCCTCTGAGCCCTCTCACTGGCCCCCTCCACCTTAGTTTCCGAGAGAAGGGTCTCTTTATTGAACTTAGAGACCCACCTGTCTTTATCCCCAGAAGTGCTGGAGTCGCCTGCCACCATGCCTGACTTGTGTGTGTGAGGGTTGGTGAGTATGCACACTCACAGAGACAGCTCCCCAGTCCCCAGGCTTTTGTGTGCAGACGGAGGCTCTGAATTCAGGTCCTCATGCTTGCGCATCAAGTACTGTATCGATTGAATCATCTCCCCAGCCCAGAAACAAATCTTCTTTCTACCGCTCTAGAAATTTCCCTTATAAAAAGCCCCTTCTCCATGCCCTGCCTCAGGCAACTACTTACCTGATTTCCATTACTATCAGCTGGTTTTGTCGGTTTCAGAACTTTGTATGAATGTAATCACACTGTATTACTCTTTCATGTCTGGTGTCTTTCAGCACAGTGATTTATCTATAGTAACAATTGATGTGGTTTATAGTTTATTGCAGTGTACTTCAGAACACACATAAAATTCACCCTTTTAAGACACAATTCCATGGTGGTTTTTGCTATACTCACAGAGTTATATAACCATCACAACTAATTTTAGATTTTCCATTACCCTCAAGAAACCCTTGTACTCATTAGAAGTCATCCCCGTCCTCCTTCTCCCTACCCTGACAGCCACTAATCTACTTCCTGCTTCTGTGAGCTTTTTTATTCTGAACATTCCATATTGTGATGATTAGGTAATTTTTTTAGGCCAATCTATCAACTAACTATATTGACAAGATACTTATTGGTTATATGTTGAAGAAATATATAATACAAAATACAGGAAAAGCTGGTCCATCCCTTCCTACTTTCCTCCCTACCCACCCACTCCAAATATTCCTCATTGTTCCTCGCTGTGATTTGGCCAGAACAGGGCTTAGAGTCAAGATGGATAATTTGATTATCAACTTTTTTTCCCCTTGAGACAGGGTTTCTTTATGTAGCATTAGCTGTCCTAGAATTAGCTTAAAAGTCTTGAATTCACAGATCTGCTGCCTCTGCCTCTGGGACTGAAGCCATTCACCACCGCCACCACTGCTTGGCTTGATTGTCAACTTGGGGTAGGGGTGGCACAAGCCTTTAATCCAGGCATTTGGGAGGCAGAGGCAGGCAGATCTCTGTGAGTTTGGAGCCAGCCTGGTCTACAGAGCGAGTTCCCAGACAGTCACAGCAGTTACATAGAGAAACCCTGTCTCAAGAAGCTAAAATAATAATAACAACAACAACAACAACAACAACAACAACGTCTAGGGAAGGCTGAAGAGATGGCTCAGCAGTTAGAAGTACTTACTTAACTGCTCTTGCAGAAGACCTGGGTTCAACTCCTGGCACTCACACAGCTGTTCACAATCCCCTGTAACTCCAATTCCAGGGCTTCTGATGCTCTCTTCTGACCTCCTTGTGTTCCTACATGCACATGCTATATATACATACATCATGACGCACACATACACACAAAATAAAAAAAATAAAAACTTACCTGAGCTTGTTGTGACTCACACCGTTGATCCCAGCACCCAGAAGACAGAGGCTGGTGGCTCTCTGTGAATTCCAGGCCAGCCTGGTCTACATCTCAAGCTGTAAAGCATCTTCTATAAACAGCAGCAGCAACAACAAACACATTAGGCTTGAATGAGTACTTTGGGGCAAGTCTGTGAAGATGTTTCCAGAGAGGGGGGTTGTTTGGATTTCTCAAATAGGACCTCACTCTGTAGCCCAGGCTAGCCTCAAACTCATAATGATCCTCAGCTGTCTCAGCTGAGAATACAAGTGTGACTCACAATTCCTGCTCTCTAAACACATTGACCTGAAGAACAAACACGTGTCCTGAGTGTAGATGTCACTGCCCCTGTGCTGGGGTCCAGGAATGAATAAAAAGGGAAGCAAGAAGAAGTCACCCTTAAGTGCCTTGATAAACAGATACTTAAGCATAAGCAATACAGCTAAGATCATTAACATTCAGAGATGTACAGTTTTGGGTGGTTTTTGTTGTTGTTGTTGTTGTTGCTTTGTTTTGTTTTGTTTTGTTTTGAGACAGGGTTTCTCTGTGTAACAGCCTTGGCTGTTCTGGAACCAGGTTGGCCTCAAACTCACAAAGATCCACCTGCTTCTTCCTCCTGAGTGCTGCCATTAAAGGCAC